TTTATGTCTGTCTTTCACTCCTTTCCTGAACTCATGTCTGCTTCGTATTCTCCTCCCACACCGAACAGTCTTGCGAGAGGCCTTGGAGAACAGGACAGAGGAAGTGATTCAAGTGGCCAAGAGAGAAATGCAGAGGATACTGGACGAGGAATGTCCCGGCCGGCAACGAAGGGAAACCGGCCCATCGCTATTGTCTCGGGGAATGCTGTCCGCTTCCCCGGGGTTGGAAGAGGGAGGCGAGGGTGGGGTGTAGTTTTGTTTTCTTCTTCTTCTTTGTCCTTTTTCTTTTTCTTTTTCCTCTTTTTCTTCTTTCTTCTTCTTCTTTCTTTTTCTTCTCTTCCTCCTCTTCCTTCTCCTCCTCCTCTTCCTTCTCCTCCTCCTCTTCCTTCTCCTCCTCCTCTTCCTTCTCCTCCTCCTCTTCCTTCTCCTCCTCCTCTTCCTTCTCCTCCTCCTCTTCCTTCTCCTCCTCCTCTTCCTTCTCCTCCTCCTCTTCCTTCTCCTCCTCTTCTTCCTCCTTCTGTTTTATGAGAGTTTTAAAGCGACTGAGAAATATTATAAGACGTTTGCTCTACCAATGTTCAAAAAGGAAGATTTGATATGTATTTTTTTTTTTTTTTTTTTTAATCTTTAGGGAACTTAAGATGAGTGCAGACTATGTATTCTTTTTCCACGTTTGAATTGTAGTTTGTATAATGCATCAGAAAGTGTCATGCTATGTGATCTATATAATATTTTTTTCGCAGTGACCATATAACATATATTTTTTTTCTAATCGATATTATATTCTGTTCTTCATGTTAATATAGTTGGAGCTTTATGTAAATTTATCATTCACTGGAAATGCCTTTATATATATTTACTTTTGTATAAGTGCATTGTGTGACTGTATTTGAATTTAATAAATATATAGTCTGCGTAGTATTTCATTAATATTCCCGCCACACGTGCAAAGGACGAGAGGTGGACAATTATGGAAAGGTAGTATTTTTTTTCCTTTTCCCTTTCTCTGTCTGTCTGTCTCTCCTTCTCTATCTATCTATCTATCTATCTATCTATCTATCTATCTCTGTCTCTATCTCTGTCTCTGTTTCTGTCTCTCTCCCTCTCCCCCTCCCCCTCCCCTCTCCCTCTCCCTCTGTCTCTGTCTCTCCCTCTCCCTCTCCCTCTCTCCCTCCCCCATTCCCTATCCATCTATTTATATTTCTCTCTCCCTCTCCCTCTCCCCCTCTCTCTCTCTCTCTCTCTCTCTCTCTCTCTCTCTCTCTCTCTCTCTCTCTCTCTCTCTCTCTCTCTCTCTCTCTCTCTCTCTCTCTCTCTCTCTCTCTCTCCCTCCCTCTCTCCCTTCCCCATTCTCTACCCATCTATTTATATTTCTCTCTCTCTCTTTATCTCTCCTTCTTCTCCCATGAAGAGACTACATCATCATCACGAAGAGAACTCACAACGAACCGGTGAGCAACACGGACCGTTTGAGATGCTGGATCGAGAAATTGGATTGATTTTTGGTCAAGTTGCAAAGCCTGCTGTTGGTTCCTCGACTTAATGGATGACGTGTAAGGTTGGTTTTATCTTGGTCGAATTAGGCTTTTTTTTATTTTGGATTTGAAGAAATTTTGGATTTGATGGAAATGCTTGTATGCGAGATGGTGCGGATTGTTTTTTTTTTTTTTTTTTTTTTTTTTTTTTTTTTTTTTTTTTTTTTTTTTTTGGGGGGGGGGGAGGGTAATCTTATTGATAGGATTACCCAATTTATCGTAGTGAAAAAAAAAATGCAAGTGGTTAATAATGGGATTCGAATAATACAGATTCGGTTAAATTTCAGACTTGGTAAAGGCGAAGTAGATGAAATATTAATAGTGTTGTGATAATGAAGGTGTTTTTTTACTGAATAGTTATGGCGTGGTTAGATTATTGCCAACGTTTAGCAAGCAGTGACCCCCCAAAGCCCTTACACGTTATTGTCGTGGGGGGGGCATAGATTTGTCAGATCCTATGATTTTTTTATGGAATTTACCCATCGATGGACCTAGACTGAGGCCCTGATGTTCTCCTTGGCCCTTGACCTCGACTCAAGCAAGTGGGATCGATTTTTCTGTGTGACCCTACCCCCACCCCCCCTACCCCTTGCTTTGACAGTACCCTGCAACATTATCTCCAAAAAGAAGTAGGCCAAGTTTCCTTCCGCAGCTGTTGCGGTCACTGACGCCTTGTAATGCATCTGAGTCCCGAACCCGTGCATTATCTACCCTGACTGACCTCAATGGCAAACCTATTCCTCCCCAGCCTCACGCCTCCCTCAATACTTGTACCGGAACTGTTTCCATCTCCCCGGTTGATTGCCTGTGTAACACAAGGATTGGTCAGACAGCGAAAACGACTTACTTCCCTGCCTCGTTGACTTGCAATATTCCTCCCGTTTATGCCTCCCTTTTTTTCCTCCCAGAGGCCATAAGCCCTACACCAATATTACCAAGATTAATTTCCGTAGATATAAATTCTCTTATTAAGTTTTATTGGCGGAGAGTCTTGCCCTGTCCGGCCATATGGACCCCTTCCCCGTCAACGTCAGAAATGTTGGCGTTTTGGCCGCCCTGCCAAGCACTGGCACCCCTTTGTGTGCTCACCCTGGTCATGACCGTCCGAATTAATCAGTCCAATCACGTACATGTACCAATTGCGGTAGTTCCCATTATATATACCTGCGCTGCCGACAAGTCTGAGTCAGAGGGAGCAGTTCTCAGATTCAGACAGGAAGCAAGCCGACGAATATTTTCTCTCGCTACCTATTCCAATGCTGCCCTTCGTTCCGCTCTTCTCCTCTCCTCCTAACAAGGTTTATATGAGGTCTATATATATACTTATATAGATCTTACTCCCCAAGATGTCTCAGCGTCTCCCCCAGTATCTCTTCCCCCGCCCCTTACCATCCTACCTCCACTCTCTCTCTCCCCCAGTCAACTGATTGCCATTCTAAATCCAGGTACTCCAATCTCTACCACTTCCCCGATCCGTTCCCCTCACTTTACCTGTCACGCCAGGCAGTCTAAACACTCCACCTCATCTTCTGATTCTCTCCTACAACCACCTCTTCTTCTGTTCCTCTTCTCCTCTTCATGAGAAATCCTTCGTTCCTCAGATCTCCCCACTCCGCCCCCCCCCCCTCTAGAAACTCTTGAAGACACCCAAAACTTCCTCAACATGACCCAAGAGAAAGCTCCTCTCCTTCATCCACCTTCCACTCTCTCTACTCCCAGTCCCTCTACATTCAAAGTACTTGACATCATCCACCCTTTTCCTCCTCGTGCCCCCCCCCCCCCCTCTAACCCTCTTCCTCGCACTTTCTCCCAACACACTCCATCCTCTCTTTCTCCATCTGCACCATCCCGCTCTCTTCCCCCATTATCCCCTCCACTCTCCACTGCCTCCCCTTTGCCATGATGTCCTTCTGCTGCTCCTGCTCCTCCTGATGTGTTCTTCCCTTGCTTCCTTTTTACCCGTTGGTTGCTTCATCGTTGCTCTTTCGCACTGTTCCTCATGAAGTGTCCCTCTTCCTTCCTCTGACACATGTATAATTTCTTATTTGATCTAATTACACATCGTACTTAACACACTTCCCTCATTTACTAATTCCCACCTTCCTTCATTTTCTCCACCACTCCTTAATTCTCTTTTTTACGACTATACTACCCGATAGCATTCTATGACCTCTGACATCTAACACATGTTGTCCTAATCATTAACTTATTTTTACCCTTATTGCTGCTATACGACCTTTGGTTTCTTGCACATTTATATGTTTCAAGCGTTAACCATTGCATGTCTAATCCTCTTTTGTGTCTTATTTTAGCTTTATTCAGTCATGCCATTTATCTTCGTTGAAGTTCGTTTGATCTGCAGTTGTTTTTTAAATTGTGGAATATTAATTTAGGATTTGTCCTTTGGTATGTAACTACAAGAAACAAATTCCTTTTTATCTCCCAAAATTTACTAGCTGCCTACAAGTGTTATAATTCATTCTTAGTACACTTTTTCAGAGAGAATTGATGTTAGTAAGAATGTAGTAAAAGTCAGCTTGGATGATAATCACAATGGGTTACTTTATTGTCAGTTCTCCTTTGAATAACAAGAATATATAACATACTAATATTACTGTATGTATAATATTAACTAGTAAGAGGTTTCATTGTCTACTTTTTTCTTTTCTTTTCTTTTTTTTGAAATACCGAAATTCACGTTTTTTGACAAACTATACACTGCCGTAATTGTTAATAGGTTTTATAATCACATTTTTAAATAATTTCTGTCTATTTAAGTGCCCAAGCATAAAGGTAGATAATCATCTTTCATTATCACTACATAAGTACAGTGCTAGGAATCTCTGATGGACATCTAAAAAGGGTAAAAAAAAAAAAAAAAAAAAAAACTTAACTTTTTATCATGCTAGTTAGCATTTCCTTGTTATAACTTGTACATATGTAATGGATTCTTGATAATACAAAAAAGTTCAAATAATTCAGTGAAAAAAGTGACAATTTTTATCTTTTCTGTTTGAGCTCTGATATATGCTTAGGATGTAAATATTACAATAATTAAAGGTTTTATATCCTCCAAATAGCTTGGAGTATATAATATTCTACATCAACTGCCATTATCACAATTCATGTGTATAATATATGTATAAATAAAAGCACAAGTATAAGTTAAATGTCACAATGGAAATGAATGATAAGGTATTTTCATTTCCACTTGCATCATAAGTATTAATTTCCATCATTTGTGAAGTAGAATAGACTCTGAGACTAATTCCAGTGTTCATTCTCTCAACAGCTAAGCGAGTGGTCTGTACAGTTCAAACACACTGTTTGAGCAACATTTGTTCTTCTTAGAACTGCCTTCACAATAATCGCCACTTTACAGCTCTTTATATTTCTATTTACTTCTGCTAAAACAAGAAAAGATGAAAAGAAAAGAAAAAATCTTGGTTTAAACAAAACAAAAAGAAAATTCAGCTTTGGTTTATTTAAAATTATATCACTTGACTAATAGTGAAAACAGATTCCACTAAATCACTACATGTTTAATTTGTCACTTATATAAATTGTTTCCAAGGAACAGACGTTAACATATTCATCATCAAAAATGAAAAGAGGCATTTCTGTTTAAAAAAAAAAAAAAGCTCGGAAAAAGAGAGAGGAAAAAAATGCATGAAAAAGAAGACAAATTTTTTAAACCTTTTACATGGTCTGGAATGCTACAACTGAAAACAGAAAGAAATAGGACACACATAATAAGGATAAAAAGCAAAAATAACAAACACATTCTTACACCAGTTTATCCCTTAACAGTGGGGATAAAAGTTGACACTCAGCCTCCCAACTAGTCAGCTAAGTCACAATGTGTCGCACAAACAAGTGGACACCTTAAATAAGATGTATTAGTACAGGTAAAAACAGATACAAAGAGAGGGGGGAGGCAAAGAATCTGGAGATGGATATACATATTGGAAATATATATATTCGAGGAGGAGGGGTAAAAGTCAGAGGGATGGAAGGGAGGGAGGGATGGAAGGGAGGGAGGGATGGAAGGGAGGGAGGGAGGGAGGGAGGGAAGGGAGGGAGGGAGGGAAGGGAAGGTAGGGGGAGAGAAGAGGGAGAGAGGGAAGGGGGGGAGGAAAGAGGGAAGGGAGAGAGGGGGGATAAGGTAAGATACCACGCAGAATCCTCTGCTTTCCTCTGATTTTATCATTTCCCTCCCCTTCCCCCCTTCATTAGATTGAGTTTATGACAACTGCCTTGCTCAAAGTCACCTAGGAAGCGGTCAGATAAATGAATGCCAATCCTACTGATTTTGGAAGACACTAATGACCTTCGATGTTGGTGTGACAAAAAAAAAAAAAAAAAATATTTCTAAAAAATAAATAAACAAAATTCAAACCATATGAATCTCATTTGACGACTTCATATTTTTTTTTGGAATGATATCAAGTACATAACTGGATAACTTTCTAGAAAAAGGTCCTTCTCTCAAACCCCATTGAATTTGATATCAATCCAGGACTAAGCAAGACTGACATTTTAGCTTGCCAAGCCACTGCCTCGTCTGAATCGAGACCTCGCTAATATCGGCACATCATTCAGACCCCTCCAGGCTCACCGTGCCAGTCAGACGTGAAGAAGATTTCGCATTTCAAGCAGGGAGTTGGTGGGGAGGGGGGGTTAGTAGCCACAGCCTCCTAACAATGACAAACACAAATGCCACAAATACCCCTTGCCCATACTAAAATCTTGCCAATTTTACCCCAAAGCTCTCCCTTAGGGTTCCCTCATGCCCTCCAGACCTATCAAGTCGAATATCTGTTAATGTTGCCTACCCCAACTAACACTACTATAAATGCACACTAAACATGAGGAATCCACTGATCCCAAATTCAATGCATTTTAAGATGTGGATCTACACTAGAAATTTACCCATAATTGTGCTTGGTTGAATAGTTGCAGCTTCAGAAGTCTTGAAACAATGTCCACACATATCAACAGAATTTGCAATGTGGCTATAAGAGAGCTTACCAAACATATTTAAATATATTGTTATTTAGTATTGTTATATATATATATATATATTCTTTTTTTTATTTTTACTTTTACTTATCTTATTTTCCTTATCAATAAGTATATATATATAATATATATATATATAGGGTTGCAAATTGGCTGGCTTATTGGAGGCAACATAACATCCAACTCGAAATACCCTAATCAATCAAGAGTACTGAATATGCAATGAAAAACATGTGATTATAAAGTACATACTAATGTGTTTGTATTCTTCCGATTCTCGGATAATTACAAAAAAAAAAAAAAAAAAAAGAAGCCTGTTAATGTAGCATTCACTTGACCCGAGGTATGTCAGTAGCCCTTTTACCCAAGACTCTTTTTCAAGTCTTAGTCAAGCTCCTTGTAACTAACATTTGTCTTGACACAATGCCCAAAGATGCCTGAGCAATCTCTTCTATTGTAGACTCTGCTATTAGGCTGACATAATGATCAACAAAAACACTTCTCAGCACTGTAACTGTGAGATATGTTGAAAACTGGTTAATAATACTTTCGTGCTGGAGCTTACACTCGTTCCTCTAATTGAGATAGTGGAATCGTTGGATACAAAACGTCCAGAGTAGCTATTTCATGATCCAAAAACAACTTCCCGATGAGTAATTAAAAGAAGTCATTTCTTTTTCACAATCAATGCATTTATGGAAAATAAACTCACACTATCAAGTTATATATACTCCCAAACTACAATAAAAAAAATCTATCACGTGGGATTTATAATCAAGAGTAAACACTTCCCTAACTCTGATACACAAAAATCTTTGCAATCTCCTGTTGTTGTGACACTCTTACTCTATAACACAACATTCTACACTTTTTTTTTTATTTTTTCTTTATTTTGGCATTGAAAACAATAAACAAATAACATCTTACACTTGTTTGATTCATTACAAGGTGCTTCCTGATAGCCTTATATTTTTTTTATTGTTTTCTTTTGTTTTGTGTTTTTTTACTTTTTTTTTTTTTTCTTTAGGGGGAGTCACTGCAGACACTGTTTATATATGCTGTATAAAAATAGTTTTTTTGTTTGTTTGTTTTTTTTTGACGACGGAATTCAAACCTTCCTTTTCCCTTTATGCTTCACAGCTGCTTACCTCCTAAAACTGACTAATATTATTCAGGTTTCTTTGTGGTCTCGCTTCTTTTCCTTTCCTCTTGTTTTGCCAAATGGATGCCAATAATGACGAAGAAAATGCTGTTCCTTGTAGCATCTGTCCCTTTCCTCACTTCTGTATCAGATAAAGCATCATGCAAGAAATCATTCCTCAGACACTCAAGTCATTACACAGATTAATGCTTTATCTACTATACAATAACAAAAAGCAAAAGTAGATCGGTAAACATGCAGTTACGTTAACCCACTTCTGTGGGATCTGCATTCTGTAATTGCACTGGCTTATTACCTTTAAATGTGACACTTGCTAGGTCCATCCACTGTTTATATACTTTCTTCCAAAATTTGTGTATTATAGATTATGTAAATACATCTGGAAGAGAGGTACTAGGAGTAATAGGACTTGGTTATCTTACTGCAGGGAACTGTTCACAGATCAAGCTTACAATTCCCTATGGTAATTCAGGTACAACTTGAGGGCTTGAGGAAGTGGCAACAGAGATATCTTCTCTCTCATCAAGGTTGAATAAGACTCGACGGGGGACGGAGGGCTGCCGGAGCCTTCGTTTTCGTCTGGTCCCTCCTTGGTCTCGTCGTCTTCCTTTCTGTGCTTCCACTGTCCCCTGCAGTCTTTTCCACTCGGGTACGGGTCATCTGCATCCAGCAGACGTGTCACTTTGGTCCTTGGGGGCGAGTTGTCGGAGTAATCAGAATCCGTAGAATCAATGTCCATGTCTATGTCTTCATCGCCTGCGTCAGATTCTGAACTTGGTCCCTTCCCGTTTTCTATTTCATCACCTACGCCACTGTCAAATTTCTCACGTTTTTTATTGGATTTTACAGACATCACTGGTGTAGAAGTCATTGGAATTGGATCAGACTGGGGCATTGTTAGGACTGACGACGATACATCATCTTGTGTCTCTGCACTTTCTGCTCCTCCTACTTCTTCTTCCTTCACTTCCTCGACTCCAGCTTCCTTGCGACTTTTGTCTTTCAAGAAGGACTTCCTGGTTAGGCCTCGAAATAATTTCCGCTCCTTACTCATTTTGCCGTTACCTGGTGAGCTGGGAGCGCTATCCACCTCATGCTCCTCTTCCTCTTCCTCCTGCTCTTCTTCTTTCAGTCCATCCACATCTTCCTCCCCTTCCTCTTCCTCTTCATCCTCCTCCTCCTCCTCATCCTCTTCCTCCTCCTCCTCATTCTGTCTGGCCTCATTCTCCTCGCTCTCCCTCTCTAGCCTCCTCTGTCCTGCAAGACTACGAGCTAAGTCAATCACAGCAGATATTTGATTTGCAGTGTGGTGCTGAGCAACGTACAGAGTGTCCCTGTCATCCCTGTCTTCAGGCTCTTCATCAGACATCATCCTCGGATCGTCGTCCGACTCGTAGAAGGGCACGGGAGGGGCATAGGGCACAACAATGCGGCATATCTGTCGGCGGTCGCGGTTCCTCTGCTGTCTTTGTACTGGTCTGTTTGCAGCGGTCACCAAATTTGGATGCTCCTTCTCGATATTGGTTCGTAATATTGAGCGAAGTTCCTGACGGCAGATTTCCTGGAGGTCCATGAGCTCTGCAGTAGCTGTTGGAAATAAAAACCACATGAGAAAAAAGATAATAGCATTGGAAAAAAAAATGATTACACATAGCACAATCAGAGATCAATGTTTTATATTTCTATTATAAAACTCCTCTATTAAAAAGTTCTTTAAAAAGTAAATGTTCACTGTAATATTCTTTTGAGAAATGTATTCATATATAGATGGTTCCACAAGTGCTCAGACACCAAGGAGGCAATTAGTAGTCTACTTAACTTTACTTTACTTTACTTTTTATTATAATACAAGTGCAATCCAGAGCATTTTAAATGGACACCATAAATCATGTAAGAAACTATCAATTAAACTATCTAAACTTCACATAGCTATTACACTTTAGATATAGTATAGCTGTTTATTTATTTGTGTATCTATTTATTTATTACTATTTTCTTTTATAACATTTAAAAGTGGTCTCAAGCTGACACAGAACATACTTTAGTTTGCACTTTCTTCCTATGCTGATGTGGGGGAAAAAATGCAACAATCTTGAAGTACACTTACACTTCACATATGAAATAAGTACTTTGTTTGTAACAATAATAAAACAAATATCTTTTAAAAGTATTCATACAGAGCCTGACAAAAGTGAGTTTCTAACATGGCAGAGGAATAAAGAAAAATATCTATTTCCTCATGTAGCAGACATAATTTCCTATCAATCAAACTTGCCCCTACCACTATGTCCATTAATAATGAAAGTGTCCAATAGTACAACTTTAAGGCATAAAAAAATAAACAATATAAATAAATCAATCCATAAATAAATGTACCACTAAAAAATCTCCCTCTAAAACGGACAGAAGTCCCTTTCCACTAGTGTAACAGATATTACCCACTACTCACATACATCTTTGTCTAAACTATGACTGCCAACAGGAAAGGAAGGATCTAACACTCTAAAAAAAAATCCCCCCCAAAAAAATAACCTTAATAACAATAAAATAAACATATAATAAAAAATATACAAATAAACAAATGGAATAGAGAGTTGGCTTACGGAGATTCACTGTCGATGGCGGATGGCTGGAGTCCGGCATGACCAGCGACGAAAATGAAACGGGCAGCAGAGACTCCACCTCCCATGAGCTTGGTCCTTTGCGTGTAATCTTCACCAGCTGGTCGTTCAGCGGCATGACTAATATGCCTCCTTCCTGTGTGGGTAGGAAGCCAGGAGTAGAGGTGAGTCATTGGAGTTAACAGACTGTGGATATGGTAGTACAAGAGGTTAAAAATTGCCACAAAAAGGCAAATAAGGAAATGGTTTACCAAAGAGCATCCTATGGTCACAATTATATTACACTGTTTAATATCCAATAAAATTACAGACTACGTAGACGAACAACCAACACTAAACGGACCAACAGATTTCCAATATGAACCTATTTGTATATGAGATAATTACTGAGCTCCTTTTGTGTACTTAACACATACAATTTACATTCTGGAATAAGATCAGATATTTTGAATCCTACCACAATCATAAAAGTGGAAATATGGAAAAATTTTGTACCCTAACTGGTGAAATTTACCGAACACAATTTTTAAACAAGACCTTTAAATCTCAAAGTACAAATAAATGTATGAGACAAATTTCGGTATTTTGACTACTCAAAAAAATCATTTTGTAGGTATATATATGCATTTTTTTTAGCACCATAAAAAAGTTACAAAAGAACCCTGAATCATGAGAAAGCCTAATCAAACGCTCAATGATGATAAAAATAACTGGTATACTGACCTCCTTATATCTGAAATTGTAAACTGCACCTTTTATTTTTTTTCTATTCATTAAATTGCCCCTTAAAGAAACTGCAAAACAAAATCTTTCAGCCTTATTTGATTTCTCTCTAAAGATTTAATCGTTAATCATGGTCTGGCACGTTCTATCTTTCTTTTTAACCTCTTTTATTCATCTATTCACTTACTTCCTATTTATCTTTTTTATTTACATAAGAGCATTTCTAAAGGCAATGACTTACATTTATAAGTCCCTTCATATAGTTTTCGTGACTTTCTGGACAAGAGGCTCCACAATACACTCGATCATACAGGCGCATATCAGGGGGCAGGCATAAACAATTACCTGAAAGAAAATAATGACCATAATTCCCATAGTAACCAGCTTATGAACATATACAGTAAGTCCCCAACTTAAGAACATAATGAGGATCGAGAGGCTGTTTGTAAGTTGATTTGTTTGTATGTTGAAAGTTGGGTCTCCATTACCTTTTTTCCCATTGTTTTAAAGTTTTGTTTACATTAAGAATCCCTGTAAATAAATCCCAATAAGTACTACACACCTTATACAGTACCAGACTCTTGAACTATATTCGTGCCCGGGAAATTTGAAGTTTGCTAGCATCTTTCAAACGATTTTTTGGACTTTAGTATTTTAAAAATATTGTTTGTATGTATGGAATGTTCATAAGTAGAATGTTCTTAAGTAGGGGACTATCTGTATATGGAGCTATATCATAAAAATAAAAGTATGGATATCCAATGGTGCAAAAATTAAATAATGATCACAGAAATATAAAAACAGTTACATAGATTTCCTTCGAGCACAGAACTTACCCTGCACAAACTGGGGATCACAAAAGGTAAATGCATCAATTGCTGCTGAGTTCTTCTTGAAATGCTCTAGTCGTTCTTGCCCATAACTAACAACATCAGCGTGAAGTTCTACTCCGTGGTTGATTCCATAGGGACCTGTTCGTTGCAAGAATCCGTGTTATTGATGTTCACAGAAAATACATTATCACTACTGGCCTAAACATCTTTGTAATATACAGACAGTTATGCCCTAAGCTACTTTATATTTTCTAATAAGTGTAAAGAATATTCATGAATCTTTAAGCTGAAATTCCTGCATATAATTTACCTATTTACATACTGGTATTAAGGTACAGAAGTACCTCTTGGATATTTTTATGTGCAGCTCTCACTTTAACCCTCCAAAACTATAAACACGCACACACATGTAAAACACAGACAATATTTCATTGCTATCTATCTACACACTGATATTCCATTAACTAAATAATCTCTGTAGAAAAAGGTATAAATGAGAATGACTATCTCCTCAGTCCAATAGATGTATTTCATGTATTCCCATCCATACCCTTCATACATCCGTCACAATGAACACCAAATAAAAGAAAGCAACCTTTCTTAACCCCATCCTTAATTTACCACAACAAACATCCAATAACCTACAAAAAAAAAATTGCATTGCCCCCATCCTCAGTTTACCGCAACAAACTTTCAGTAACCTACAGAAAAAAGTCGCATTGCCCCCCAGTCCTCAATCTGTTGCGACGGACACCCAATCACCTACAGAAAAAGAATCCCGCATTACCCATACTCAACCAGCTATCCCCTCCTGCCATGCTGTTCATACCTAGAATGAGACCGGCCATGGTGGAGAGGTACCCAGTGCCAGATCCCAGGTTGAGGAAGGACTGCCCTGGTGCTAATTGGAGGCCCTCCATTACCTGACGGAGAGAGAGAGACAGTAATATAGAGTTTGACCAGTTTTTGGAAGAACAGCATACACATCACATACCATGAGTAATGAAAAAAAAAATTTAATAAAAATTTAGGCACACACATGCATACACGCAAACACCTATCATTCTATCATCAATTTTCTGCAATTTTCTCTCACACATGCATGGAAATGGATAATACCGACTTGCCCTATCTCCTGACACTGGCATAAACACATACCAATCCTTAAAAAGCAAAAAACAAAAAAGAAAGAAAGAAAAAAAAAATCACAATACTATCATCAATAACAATATCAAAAACATTAACGACAATAATAATAATGTCCTCGAAAACATAAAGGTGGTTTTGCAGTACTTAAAATATAATCCTTTAAAAACCCTAGGCTGATATTCATGACCTTCCAGTAGTTTTAGTTAAACGAGTAGAAAAATCTGAATTATGGGTAATGTCTCTCGACAGACCAATATATTCATTCTATATGCTCCCTCATCCTTGTAGCCGCTGTTATCAACATCGGCATGGCGTACCCGCTGGCATCAGCATCACGTGTATAACATCTGTAGCCACTGCCATCAGCATCGGCATGGCGTAGCTGCTGGCTTCAGCATCACGCGTACATCATCCCCTCTAGGACTTGGTTGACGGTTTCTTCATGGGTTGCGATAAGGATAATGCCATGGCCGTGTTCCTCCATGTGTTTGTATGTGCTGAATTAGGCCTTGTCCCTAGTGTTGACGTATAAATGAAGGAAGGGCGTCTCACGAAAGGGGGGCCATCACAGGTTATAGAACAGTTTGAGAGTGAATACTGGCTCGACAACACGTACATAAGGACCGATCTGTGGACTTCTGTTAAAGGCCTTGACTGTTCCCGCTATGCGTATGTATCATACACATTCATGTATAGATATACATTAGTGTCAGTGTATGTTGTTGCTTACCTAAAGCAGTAGGGTATAATGGCATTCTCAGCAAACAGTAAAATGCATGTATGTATTATAACTACTGATATGATCTTGTTAGTGAATCTAAGTCGAATTGTAACAGCAATTATAATTATTATTGCATGATTGATATTGTATTGATTATGTATTGATTGCAGGTTTGACCGCATTCAAATAAATTGAGAAGCGAGTACGACGCAGTGGTATCAGTCACCTCGAGTTAACGCAAATAATCTAAGCGCGTGAAATGGCGCTTACAGTCAAACGCATTGAGGGAAGTAGGATTGAACAGAGAGATGGTCCAGGATAGAAACAATTAAAGGCGTCAACTGAGGGACTATTTCAGCGACCCCGTATAGTCGGGAAAAGCTTGTAGAAGAACATCTAGATATGCAGAATTTGCCCACAGAGGGGGCTCTTGGACTCGTGTGGTCGGTCACCACAGATAGCTTCGAGTTCAAAATAAATATAAGAGATAGAGAGGAAAATGGAAGAGGAACGCTGTCAATGGTTGGTTCCTTGTGCGACCCCTTGTACAGAAGGGGACTGATGTGGATGGGCCCATGCCTGATGGGGAATCAAAGGAGTATGGGAAATGGATAAAACCATAGATTCCCTGGAGAATACTAAGGTTCCAGGATGCTCAAGGAAAGTGCAAGCTGAAGGTGCTTATGTACAATTACATTATTCGCTGATGCAAGCTATAGTGGGTATGGCGTTGCTATATATGTAAGACTCCAATACTCTGATCAGAGCATCGATTGTGCTCATGTGGTAAGGAAAATGGCGGGTCCTCATGTGGTGAGGAAATCGGGTCCTCATGTATTGAGGAAAATAACGGGTCCTCATGTGATGAGGGTATGAGGAAATTAACAGGTCTTCATGTGGTGGGGAAAATAACGGGTCCTCATGTGATGAGGAAAATAATGGGTCTAATTAATGATCACAAAGTTTCTGCTAATATTTGAGCACTCCAGAGAAATCTGTGTTCATGCATGTCCTGCCCGTGCTCGTAATAGAGTCTCTGTTCCGTTTTTCTGCCGTATCCTTGCTGTTGCAGATCCCGAGAACATGATGCGATGCAGAGTTCCTGCCAGATTACTTCCCTGATGACTTCCCTGTGTGATGGGATGACGTCATGGAAAGATGTGTCCTGACTTGTCATCATAACTGATGTCTACGCCACTGCCTGGAAATCACTGCCTCCTTGGCTGACATTCATCGGTAGCAAAGGATCCTGTCTTAATAGTTGACATTCTGGTGCATAGTGATTTGTTTGATGACTGATACGTGAGGGTGCTTAATGAGTGGAGCCATGTTGCATCGGCATCCTAGTGAAACCTTTGGAAAAACTGTAGATGAAAACTTCGACGAGAACCTTCAGATAATTATTCAGCGAAAACACATACACATTTGCAGTACAGAAACGATCGTTACCAAGTGTAAGGCATAATGTTTTTAGTCGCTGTCTTTGCCTGAGTGATTGCTTGTATTCTGATCCTGGTATATATATGGTAGAACCTACAACGCCATAACACACATTGTATTGCTGAGTCCTGGAGAGGTTTTTTAATCTTGGCGGCCAAAAGTTCTGGGAGGAGTTCAATTTTTGTATACAAGAGGTTGCATTCTCTCCCTGTGACTGGGGCGTGGAGTTTTTTCCCTTGTCCGGCAGCAATACAGATGAGGATCATTATAACTGATCGTTAATTCGTGGGAGATCTGATGTTAGGTTTGCCCCTGTTGTTACTGATATAGAAACCATGAAGACAAGGCAAAGGGATATGAGAAAATATAGGATTCAAGCTGTGCTGTGCATCTGTGGTAACAATTCTCTGTCTAACTCATTTCGGAAGTGATGTATATGAGGAATATAGAAGAGCCTCTCGGGGGTGGCGGTCTATGCCAAAACCTGGACTATACCGTTCCCAGCGCCGGGCAAGAGTTTTGTGTTGTTTGAGACACTCCGTGCTCAATCAATGGGGGGAGTGTAGCCGCTGTTATCAACATCGGCATGGCGTACCCGCTGGCATCAGCATCACGTGTATAACATCTGTAGCCACTGCCATCAGCATCGGCATGGCGTAGCTGCTGGCTTCAGCATCACGCGTACATCATCCCCTCTAGGACTTGGTTGACGGTTTCTTCATGGGTTGCGATAAGGATAATGCCATGGCCGTGTTCCTCCATGTGTTTGTATGTGCTGAATTAGGCCTTGTCCCTAGTGTTGACGTATAAATGAAGGAAGGGCGTCTCACGAAAGGGGGGCCATCACAGGTTATAGAACAGTTTGAGAGTGAATACTGGCTCGACAACACGTACATAAGGACCGATCTGTGGACTTCTGTTAAAGGCCTTGACTGTTCCCGCTATGCGTATGTATCATACACATTCATGTATAGATATACATTAGTGTCAGTGTATGTTGTTGCTTACCTAAAGCAGTAGGGTATAATGGCATTCTCAGCAAACAGTAAAATGCATGTATGTATTATAACTACTGATATGATCTTGTTAGTGAATCTAAGTCGAATTGTAACAGCAATTATAATTATTATTGCATGATTGATATTGTATTGATTATGTATTGATTGCAGGTTTGACCGCATTCAAATAAATTGAGAAGCGAGTACGACGCAGTGGTATCAGTCACCTCGAGTTAACGCAAATAATCTAAGCGCGTGAAATGGCGCTTACAATCCTCACCATTATCATCATCCCTGTCCTCATCATCGTAGATATCATTATTAGTAGTAGGATCCTCACCATCACCATCATCACCATCATTACAATTATTACTATTATTATCATTATTATTACTATTATTACTATTACTATTACTATTATTATTACTGCTATTATCATTACTATCATTATCATTACTATTATTACCACTATTACCATTATTACTGTTATTACTATTACTATTACTATTACTACTATTACTGTTATTAATATTATCAGTTTCATTACCATTACCATTATCATTAACATGATGATTATAAAGATAAAGATAATAATGATAATAATAGTAATCATCATCATCATCATCATCATCATCATCATCATCATCATCATCATCATCATCATCATCATCATCATCATCATCATCATCATCATCATCATCATCATCATCATAACAAGAAGAACAACAACAATAATAACAATAACAACTAAAATTATAATAATGATAAAAGACTAATGATGATAATAATGATGATTAAAATAACAATGACAATAACAATAACAATAATAATAATAGTAATAACAATAATAATAATAATAACAATAATAATAACAATAATAATAACAATAATAATAACAATAATAATAATAATAATAGTAATAATAATAGTAATAATAACAATAATAATAACAATAATAATAACAATAATAATAACAATAATAATAACAATAATAATAACAATAATAATAACAATAATAATAACAATAATAATAACAATAATAATAACAATAATAATAACAATAATAATAACAATAATAATAACAATAATAATAACAATAATAATAACAATAATAATAACAATAACAATAACAATAACAATAACAATAATAACAACAATAATAATAACAATAATAATAACAATAACAACATTAATAATAACATTAACAATGATTACAATCATCATCATAATGATGATGATATATTTTATATTTATTATTATTATTATAATTATCATTATCATTATCAATAAAAAATAATAATAACAATTAAAAAAATAATAATCATCAAATAAATTTAAAAATTAATAATAATAATAATAATAATAATAATAATAATAATAATAATAATAATAATAATAATAATAATAATAATAATAATAATAATAATAGTAATAATAGTAATAGTAATAGTAATAGTAATAGTAATAGTAATAGTAACCACTCTACCATTTGCTGAAAGTTCACTGATGCTACTATATCACTTTACATATCCAAGCAAGCAAAGCATTTACTCGTTCAATGACACTGTTGACAAAATATTTAATCAGTTAATTAAAAGAGGCACAATATCCTTTATCATTTCCCTACAAAGTAATTAGGTTTAAGACCATCATTCGTTTGTAAGGCAAGCATGTCTGCTGTTTGGTTTCATCCTTACATTCATAAATATGCAAATGAATCTTTAAATAATGCATAATCAACCAAAACGGCCTATTGTGAGTTTACTCTATTCATAGATGGCTCCACTTGTATTAAGTTACCAATGAGCCAATTAAAAGTATTATTTCTCTCACCTGTTTACCCTTTTCCTTGATTTTCAAAATATTCTATGTTATCTTATATTACCTTTACTAATATCAATAACATTATAGTAATTATAACATCTAAAATAAAAATAACACCATTGATATTCATGGTAGTAGTATTTTTTTTTTTTTTTTTTTTTTCAGCCAATTCAAGGAAAGATGAAGTCAGGCAAGGTCACAAGATCTACTCACTGACTCCCCTTTATGGCTAAGCACTTGCAGAGCCATTTAGCAAAAAATTCTAGAATGGGCACAGCACTTTCCCGGCGACTCTGGGCGAAGTGGACAAATTCGATTTCACTTCCTTCCTTATCCTGCTTTTCGAACTTAGCAAACCTTATTTACAGACACTGAAATAACCATTCCTGGGAAGTGGATTCCTTTTATCTGATACACCGATACTGAGCCCTATTCACAACTTCTCAACGCACGTCACTAATAATGACGGTACATATGGCGTTCACCTTCAACTCCGAGCTGACCAACCCAATGTGTGCCCGAAACATTACTTTCGTCACTCTCCTTGATTAATGCTTATACGTCGAGAGTTGTTTTGCTTAGAAGTGTTATCACCTCTCAAACCTTAACAGAAGAAGAGAAGAAGAGATGGGAAGAGAAGAGAAAGGAAGAAGAGAAGAGATAAAACAAAAAGAAAAGAAAAGAAAAGAAAAGTAAAAAGTAAAAAGAAAAAAAGAAAAGTAAAAAGAAAAAAAGAAAAGTAAAAAGAAAAAAGAAAAGTAAAAAGGAAAAAGAAAAGTAAAAAGGAAAAAGAAAAGTAAAAAGGAAAAAGAAAAGTAAAAAGGATAAAGAAAAGGAAAAAGGAAAAAGGAAAAAGAAAAGTAAAAAAGAAAAGTAAAAAAGAAAAAGAAAAGAAAAGTAAAAAGTAAAAAGTAAAAAGTAAAAATTAAAAATTAAAAAGGGAAAGGGAAAAGGACAAGGAAAAGGAAAAGGAAAGGAAAGGAAAGGAAAGGAAAGGAAAGGAAAGGAAAGGAAAGGAAAGGAAAGGAAAGGAAAGGAAAGGAAAGGAAAGGAAAGGAAAGGAAAGAAAAGAAAAGAAAAGAAAAGAAAAGAAAAGAAAAGAAAAGAAAAGAAAAGAAAAGAAAAAAAAGAAAAAAGAAAAAAGAAAAAAGAAAAAAGAAAAAAGAAAAAAGAAAAAAGAAAAAGAAAAGAAAAGAAAAAGGAAAGAAAAAGAAGAAAAAGAGACAACACAAGACAAGAAATATAGAAGAGAAAAGATGAGAAAAGGAAAAGAAAAACACATTCAACAATAAAACTTTACAGATTTCTGAAGCCTAACTGCTTTGCCCGCACGTTGAAATTCCTAAATGCAAGCAATGGCTGTGGTAACGCTCACAAATGGAATCATAACCGAGTCTCTCTACCTTCAGAGATCTTCCTAAGGTCTCTTCTTCAACTTAGATTAATTAGTAAAAAAAACACTAAATCACTATTACACCACCTATTCAAACTAATAAAACAAATAACGGAACATAGAGGCAGGGCCAGATTATGACCTTTTGGGGCCCCTAGGCTAATAATATTATGGGGCCCCCTCAGAATATTTTTTACTTGTGATATATTTAAGCGACATTCACATAGCTTGAAGTAAACTTATTGCAAATTCTTTAAATAAACTAGCATAGCTATCTTTTGTTTGTCAATAAAAATATTCTTTAAATACCACTATTTTACTATATTTCAACACAACTGTAGTGAAAAAAAAAATAAAGATTTTTTATAACCAAGCCCCTCAAGCTTAGGGCCCCCAAGCTTCAGGGGCCCTAGACTGCAGCCTATACTAGCCTATAGGATAATCCAGCCCTGCATATAGGAGCATTTGGGAAGTTAGACAAACATATAAATATCATAATAAAAGAAACGGGTCCTACCTTTGCATAAATACACGGAGCCGAGAGGTGCAAGTTTCCCTTCTTCCAAGCGTTGTCCCGGTACGCCAGCTCGCGGTTCTCCGAGGTGAAATAATCCCCGCGGTCGACGGCCCTGAAGACACGCTCGAGGAGGGGTGTGCGGATGTAGTTGGCCGCCTTGAGGTTGTCGACCAGCTCATCGTTGTCGACGCCTGCACTCACGGCTCCCCCCATCTTGACCCTTGCGGCTGGCACTCTACGCACAAACTCTTTCTCTTTCCTTACTGGTCTACGGTGCCTTTGTCCATTCTTGCTAAGCGGCCGTTCACAAACTCACACTTCCATTCACTTGTCCACAGTAAGTCCCGTGTCTCTCTCAGTTGCGCGAGGACTTTAGAGGGAGGTGCTATCATTAATGAGACATTGTTACCTCACGAACAAGGCAAGTTCCGCACCACGTCCAACGGATTTCGTCACAACATCACCTGGAACGCAGAGGATTTGCAG